AGAGAGAGAGGGAGACACAGAATCAGAAGCAGCCTCCAGGCTTTTATTTCTTTTTCCATCCATTTCCCCAACCACCTCCCTTCTAGCACCTATCAGCGTGTTCTCTGTATTTAGGAGTCCCTTTGTTTGTTTCCTTTTTTGTTTGTTTGCTTTGTTTCTTAAAAATGTTTTTGTTTTTGGGGCACCTGCCGTGGCTCAGTCTGTTGAGCGTCCAACTTCGGCTCAGGTCATGACCTCACAGTTCATGATTTCGAGCCGCACATCGGGCTCTGTGCTGACAGCTTTGAACCCGGAATCTGTTTCAGATGCTGTGTCTCCCTCTCTCTCTGCCCCTCCCCCACTCACACTCTGTCTCTGTCTCTCTCTCAAAAATAAATAAACATTAAAAAAAAATTTTTTTTTTAAGTTTTTGTTTTGGGGGTTCCTGGGTGGTTAAGCGTCCAACTTTGTCTCACGGTCTTTCTATTTGTGAGTTCAAGCCCCACATGGAGCTTGCTGCTATCAGTGAAGTGCCTGCTTTGGATCCTGCCATCACCCTCTCTCTGCCCCTCCCCCCCTCAAAGAAATAAACACTGAGAAAGAAGTTTTGGTCTTTGATGGGCATGTAATAACACACATAAATACTCCTGAGAAAAAGAAAAGTTTCATAAACATAATGTGTTCCTAATTTGTTAAAAGTGAATAAATGTCCAAAAAACTATTAGAACTGATAAATGAATTCAGTAGAGTTGCAGGATACAAAATTAATATACAAAAATCTGTTGCATTTATAAATACTAATAATGAAGTAGTAGAAAGAGAAATTAAGGAAAAAAATCCCATTTACAATTGCACCAAAAAGAATAAAATACTTAGGAATAAACTTAATCAAGGAGGTAAAAGACTTAAACTCCAATAACTATAAAACACTGAAGAAAGAAACGAAACTGACACAAACAAATGGAAAGATACACCACGCTCATGGACTGGAAGAACAAATATTGTTAAAATGTCTATACTACCCAAAGCAATCTACAGATTTAATGCAATCCTCTCAAAATACCAATAACATTTTCCACAAAACTATAACAAATAATCCTAAAATTTATATAAAATCAAAGAAGATCCCAAATAACCAAAGCAAACGTGAGAAAGAAGAACAAAGCTGGAGGTATCATAATCCCAGATTTCAAGATATACTACAAAGCTGCAGTAATCCAAACAGTATGGTACGAACACAAAAATAGACACATCGATCAATGGAACAGGATAGAAAATCCAAAAATAAACCTACAACTATATGGTCAAAGGAAGCAAGAATATACAAGGGGGAAAAGGCAGTCTTTTCAATTAATGGTGTTGGGAAAACTGGACAGCCACATGCAAAAGAATGAAACTGGACCACGTTCTTACACCATACACAAAAATGAACTCAAAATGGATTAAGGACCTAAATGTGAGACCCGAAACCATAAAACTCCTAGAAGAAAACATAGGCAGTAATATCTTTAATGCTAGCTATAGAAACATTTTACTAGATGTGTTTCCTTAGGCAAGAGGAAAAACAAACAAACAAATAAAAGTATTAGGACTACACCAAAGTAAAAAGCTTTTCATGGCAAACGAAGCCATCAACAAAATGATAAGGCAACTTACTGAATGGGAGAAGGTATTTGTGAATGACATATCAAGTAATGGGTTAAAATCCAAAATATATAAAGAACTTAATAAGCCTAACACCCTCCCCCAAAAGCCCACAAAGAATCTGATTAAAAATGGGCAGAATAGACATATTCCCATAGAAGACATACAAGTGAACCACAGGCCCATGGAAAGATGTTCAACATAGCTAATCATCAGGAAAACATAAATCAAAATCACAATGTCAGAATGGCTAAAAACAAAAAAGATAAGTAATAACAAGTGTTGATGAGGACACGTTAAAAAAGGAATCTTCGTATTCCGTTGGTGGGAACATGAACTGGTAAAGTCACTGTGGAAAACAATATGGAAGTTCCTCAAAAAATTAAAAATAGATTACCATATGATCCAGTAATTCCATTACTGGGTATTTACCCAAAGAAAACAAAACACTAATTTGAAAAGATATATGTGTCCCTGTTTACTGTGGCATTATTTACAATAGCCAAGATATGGAAGGAACACAAGTGCCCCTCCAAAGATGAATGGATAAAGACGTGTGTGTGTGTGTGTGTGTGTGTGTGTGTGTGTGTGTGTGTATGTAATGGAATATTACTCAGCCATAAAAAGGACAAAATCTTGCCATTTGCAACAACATGGATGAACCCAGAGAGTATAATGCTAAGTGAAATAAGTCAGCGAAAGACAAATACCATACAATTTCACTCATATGTGGAAATTAAGAAACAAAACAAGTGAACAAAGAAAAAACAAAAACAAAAATAAAAACAGACTTAAATACAGAGAACAAACTGGTGGTTGAGGGAGGGGAACTGGCTGGGGGATGGATGAAGTTGGTGAAGGGGATTAAGAGTAAACTTATCATGATGAGCAGGGAGCAATGCATAGAATTGTTAAATCATTATATTGTATGCCTGAGACTATAACACTGTATATTAATTATGCTAAGATAAAACAGTGAATAAATGTGTGCATGTATGTGTATAAATGAAAGTGACCAGAAAAAATGCAACAGAATATTAATGGTGAGTTTTGCTACATGGGCTGATTTACCCATTAGGTGGCAGTACTAACAAAGGTATAGACCCAGCTTAGGCATTTGAAAGCACCTAGTCTAAACTGTCCAAAAGTATACCCTTCATGGAATATTTCTGTGGACATATCTGTACAGATGCACTTAAAATCTAAACAGTAGATGGGGCGCCTGGGTGGCTCAGTCAGTTAAGCATCTGACTTCGGCTCAGGTCACGATGTCATAGTTCGTGGGTCTGAGCCCCGCGTGGGGCTCTGCTGAGAGCTCAGAACCTGGAGCCAACTTCAGATTCTGTGTCTCCCTTTCTCTGCCCCTCCGTGACTCGTGCTCTTACCCGCGCGTGCACGCTCACATTCTCTCTCTCCCTCAAAAATAAACAAACATTAAAAAAAAAGAAGATATGAAAAAAACTAAACATTAGATAAACAAGACTAGAAAAAAATATACCAAAATACCAAGAGTTGTTTTCAGTAAAGAGTGGTATTTTAAATTATTTTCCTTTTTTATTATTTGCATCTTCTGCATAGAACAAAAGAATTTCATAAAGAAGTTATTAAAGTAGCGACAGATTATTTCTGTATATAAGGTATGCAGAGTTTGAGTACTGAAAAGACATTTACAAAGGCGTACAGAAATGTGATATTCTATATTTCTGTCTCTTGTCACAAACAATACAAATGTGCAAAAACAAATTTAAGATGACAGAATGTTAATGTTTCAGCAGTGTGAACGTAGACAAGATTCTTATTAGCCTTATTAGTGAAAACAAAAAAGTTACAGATTTCGTTAATTGGGAACATAGGACTGAAGTGCTCGCACAAGCAACCATTTCAATATGATGTAGATTCTCTTTACTCACATTCACTAGCTTAGTGCGAAGAGGGTTATGCTGCTTCATCTCAAAATAACCTAAAATTTCATACGTAGGGCATTTGTTTTCTTAACACAGGTGTTGAAATTTCCTAATTCGAACGTACTTACTAATAAATGTACAGGTAGCCCTGGAGTATATATGAATGTATGAATGTATTTAGTAGGTGTTCCTTAGTATAAATAATCAGTGCAAATGTCAGATGGGGTGGGTTTTTTTTTTTTTTCCTTTTTGGCCACAGTTTTCATTTTAACTCTCTTCTTTGTTTTATTTCCATAACACTCTTCAAATATAACCTTCATTTTGAGCCCAGCGTCACTGGAGAAAATGAGGCTGTTTGCGGAGAAGCTGTTGAGGTCCTTACCTGGCATCACAGGATCAGTCTGACTCTCTGGTCCCCAAAAAGTGGAATGATTCCTCTTCTCTGTGTTTGATACCACCAGTGGCTGGTTTGGGACAGTCACTTTCTGGGACTTTTCCAAGAAGGAGCCTCCTGCTACATCTTTGATTGGTCCTGTGATTCTAGGCTGGGCAGTTGCTGTGTGGGTCACCGTCTTCCGGTCAAGGCTCACTGAAGGATACAGGAGCTATCGTTAGCTGCTGGGTTTCTTTTCTGAACTGTAATTAAAAGCACTAAATTTGCAGTAGATTCGAAGCCATGGATACTTGGGAATAATAACCATCTAAGCCACGTTAGAGCCCCATAAAAATTACTCTCTTCTTTTCGAATGGGTAAACTGTTTTCTCTTCTTCCAATAACTGGCTTTCTAAATGTCACAAATAAATTGACAAAAACAAAGCTTAAGAGGTGCCTGGGTGGCTCAGGTGGTTAAGCGTCCGATTTTGGCTCAGGCCATGATCTCATGGTTTGTGCGTTTGAGCCCTGCATCGGGCTCTGCTCTGACAGCTCAGAGCCTGGAGCCTGCTTCAGATTCTGTGTCTCCCTCTCTCTCATTGCGCCTTCCCCCACTCATGCCCTGTCTCTCTCTCTCAAAAATAAATAAACGTCAAAAAAATTAAAACAACAATAACAACAACAAAGCTTAAGCCTAAGGTTTTGAGATTTTACATCCTGCTTCAAAACCAGCAGTTTTTCTTCTTTCTTTCAGTACCCTTTTGTGTATGTAGGTGACATTATAAGACTGGTTTACAGTCCTGACTTAGCTACACCCTAGTATGTCACAATTTTTTCTAGGGGCGCCTGGGTGGCTCAGTCAGTTAAGCGTCTGTCTGACTTCAGCTTGGGTCACGATTTCACGGTTTGTGAGGTCGAGCCCCATCTTGGACTCTGTGCTGACAGCTCAGAGCCTGGATTCTGCTTCAGATTCTGTGTCTCCCTCTCTCTCTGCCCCTCCTAGCTTGTGCTCTGTGTGTCTCTCTCTCAAAAATAGATATTGAAAAAAATTTTTTTTCTAAAAAATTTATCAAAACAAAATCTTAACTCACTTTAGTTTTTTTAAAAGCATATTCCTCACAGCATTTTTAGGATGAGGAAGAGTCTTTTAGAAAACAAAGCAAATTTTGAAGAAGGTAAGCAATATAAAATATTTGACATTTGCAACTCAGATTAGAGACTTATAGTTAATGGTCATTTAATTTAAGGCATAGCTTATTCACATGAACTTATACCTAAAACTGGGCAGAAAAAGAACAATACTGAATTTGCATTTTATCGTGAAAATAAAGACATCCCGTCTCCCCGCCTTGCCCGAAAAGGCCATGCAGCTGACTCACAGTTATGACAGAAAGCCTCATCGGACCCATCAGGACACTGCTCCACTCCATCGCAAGCCAGCATGATGTCAATGCAGCAGCCGTCATCACAAGAGAAGTGATAGCGTGAGCAAACGTTCGAGCATCCTGTTTGCGAACAAGTCTCAAGTCACAGGAGTGCCATATCGTCAACACTTCGCTGTGTCACGATTAAGTAAGACTAAATGTACATGGAACATTTTGGGGGAGAGAGATGCACATAATGGGGGCAGACACCAACAGTCTGAGCTGGAGCAAAAGGTTGCGAGAAAGGGGTGCCTCCTTGACCCCCTGACTTAACTCTGAGGCATCACATGGGCTCTTGGTCACAGGGCTGTTCTCCAGGCCAGCGCTGCCTACCAGGTGGGAACAGACGAGCAGCAGCTCTGGTCTTCCCCAGCCAGCCCCGGGTTTGCTCCCTCACGTCTCACTCTGCGTTCCTTTGTTCATCCCGTCGACTCTGTGGGCCCCCTAACACTGCCCCCCATCCCGCATGGCATTTGGCTGGCTGAATGTGTTTTATTAGAGACACCATTTTATACATGCTATGTCTTTAGACATGCTATGTCTTGCATTCTTGTTTTCTAAGTGATCATTTTTACTGAGATTAACTTTCGACTATTGAACCCTATTTGTTGACTACCATACATCCCTACCGCCATAAAGAATAAACACAATCTCTAGCTACTGGCTGGTATGAATTTATTTTCTTCAAATAATGAAATTGTCTCCCTTTTGGAGCTGTTAGTTTTTTTTTTTATGTTTATTTATTTTTGAGATAAACATTTATAATGTTTATTTATTTTTATTTTGCACACACACACACACACACACACGCGCGTGTGAGCAGGGGAGGGGCAGACAGAGAGGGAGACACAGAATCTGAAGCAGGCTCCAGGCTCTGAGCTGTCAGCACAGAGCCTGACACAGGGCTCGAATTCACGAACTGTGAGACCACGACCTGAGCCAAAGTCGGATGCTTAACCTACTGAGCCACCAGGCACCCCAGGGGTTTGGTTTTTTTTTTTTTTTTAAGTTTATTTACTTATTTTGAGAGACAGAGAGCAAGCATGCATACAAGTGGGAGAAGGGCGGAGAGAGAATCCCAAACAGGCTCCGCACTGTTAGCATGTAGCCCAACGGGGGGATTGAACCCACAAACCGCTATATCATGACCTGAGCCAAAGACACACACTCAACCAACCAAGCCACCCAGGCGCCCCTGAAGTGGCTTCAGGCGGCCCTGAAGCTGTTAGGAGTTTTTAATTTACAGTGTAAAGGAGCTACATGTATTTTCTTGAAAGGCATTCCCCTACTCCAGATTAAGCCAACTTTACTAGACTTAGCTACACAACAACTGGGTGACTTTGACACTGGTTGATGCAGAGTAAAGGTATCAGGCTAGACGTAGGTCGTGAGGAACTTCCTAATTTCCCAGGGACACAAGGAACTAGACAATTCTCTCAGGACATGGGAGAATGGTAGATTATGATAATCCACCGAGGCAAATGGTTGAGCATAGTATATAAGTCCAAGTGAAATCTTGGATACATATTCCATTGCATGCAGTTAAACAAGGGCCTGGGAAAGGAGTCTATCTGGGTACAAGGCAATTTGAAGATACCTTGATCCAGGAAGAAGAGAAGAAATGGTGGGAGAAGCTCCTGAGAAAGAAGAGGAAGCAAAGGGCCTCAGTTATGACTGAAAATTTGGTCCTGGAAAGGAGAATCTGCTTCGGTTCCAGGAAAGGAACTCGGAGGAAAAGTGAAGGAAAACTGTGTTACCCTGAATACCAAGCGGGATACAGTTACTGCTCACATTTTTCAGTTCATGACATGGAAATCCTAAATATGTCAAGGTTTTACTTACTACTTGGTAGCTTTTGGAGATAGATTGATGTCTGTAACGTATCCATTTATTACTGGATCAGTGGTCTCTAAACTTTTTTGACCATACATCTGATCAATACATATAGTGTTGTATACTATGCATATGGTGTAATAAACACACATCTCCATCTAAAAATAATATGCATGTACCAGCATACTAACATATTAAACATGATATAAAATATACTAAAAATTCAAGGAGGAGATTAAAAATTACTAAAAATATAAGTTCAGGTGTCTTCTTTTCCATCCTACAAATGCCTTTATCTGTGTGTGGGGGGGTTCCTCTTTGGAGACCACTGATCTAGATCATATTGGAAGTGTTTGGTGGCTTGGCATTTGAATAGATTATTTTTCTCAAAGCTTGAAAACATGCAGCCTCTATATCCAAAGATCACCCAAATTATCACATCAGCAGGGGTACTATGCTTGCCTATGTCCCCCAGATGGTGCCACCCCTGGTTACCATTACAGCTGGGTTATTAACTGCAAGACCAATATATATTTATAATAGAAGGGAGAGAACCACCTCTCTGTCCCCATTTCTGGTTTTCAATGTCTCTATGTGATGTTTTATTACTTTAATTCATAGTATGTTATTCCAATCTAGCCAGAGAGTGATTCCAGATAGCAGTTAATAACACAGCCATTCTTTTAAATTTTTTCTTTCTTCCTTTCTTTCTTTCTTTCTTTCTTTCTTTCTTTCTTTCTTTCTTTCTTTCTTTCTTTTCTTTCGAGAGAGACAGAGTGTGAGTGGGGGAAGGACAGAGAGAGAGAGGGAGACAGAATCTGAAGCAGGCTCTAGGCTCTGAGCTATCAGCACAGAACCCGATGTGGGGCTCAAACTCACAGACCGAGAAATCATGACCTGAGCCGAAGTCGGATGCCCAACCAACTGAGCCACCCAGGTGCCCCTTAATTTTCTATAAAAAGTTACATATATAAGATCTATACTCCAGTGGCCTTTCAGTAATCAAAAGTGATGCACATAACTTTCTGCCACTTCAGATACATTTTGTCATCTTGGAGAAAGGCCGGAAGTGTGCAACTGGCAATTTATCTTTGGAGCCCTGGAAAACTGGCCCAAGTCAAGAAACCAGGCAAACACTGGGCTGGTGCAGTGTTAGCTCTCTGCTTGTACTCACATTTCTATCCCTCTCTCCCGCCCAGGCACCTTGGTTGTACAAACCAAAATCCCTTTCAAACTTCTATAGGGATAACGGGATATCCATGCCTTCTTCCTATGAGCTCTTTCTTCCAATAATCAGCACCTGACTTGGCTCCTGCCCAGGCAAGCACTTGATCCCAGGACAGCCCGCTGGGTTCAGTGGTCCTCCGTAGGGAGGGAGTGGCTGGGGCCGATGCCATGTTTCCCATGGCCCTGGTGCATGCCCAGTACACCGAGGTACTAAAAACATGTTTTTAAGTTTGTTTTTTAGTAACCTCTATGCCCAATGTGGGGCTCGAACCCAGAGATCAAGAGTCACACGTTTTTCTGGCTGAGCCAGACAGGCACCCCTCAAAAATGTGTTGAGTAGCTGTCTGGCTCTACTTTGCAGCTGCCATAAATCAACGGCCCTGCTGGAATCTGGGCGGGATCAGACTCCTGACCCGGACGGCTCCTCTCACTTGCCATCACTGCTTCAGAGGGCAACAGGGGCAGGAAATTGGTGTCACACCAGGCCACAGGCAGCAGCCTCCTTCCTCATAGGAGGCTGGAACCTCGGCTGGACGGGGAGTCAGCCAGTCACATTCCGAACACCGATTGCGCTCTGTGTCCCTGTGGAAGGCAAATTATCAGGGGTGCCAAGTCCTTAGGATTCTCAAGTCTTGCTTCATTTTCAATATGCATCCTGACCTACGTTGGATGGAAGACAAGATCAGCCATATGCAGTCATTCTCTGATCTTTTCACCCTTATTCTCCCACTGACTGAGTTATCAGGGATGGCGAAAACATGCGAAGGATGGGTTTTCTGGAGCCATGGTTAGTGAATGTGAAGGCTCACCACGTGGGCGCGGGTGAGCACCTCTGTATGCCCAGTGCCTCGCACAGCTCCTGTGCACCCTGCGGTCCCGCACACACTGACAGAGTCCGCGGACTGAACGACAAGACCCTCAAATACACAGCATCTCTGTACCTCTCCCTGGAGTCGACTGTGGGGGGTTTCCCCCTGCAATACCTCTATGTCTTTTGTGCTCTCAAGTTCCATATACATATATGTATATATATATTTTAACTTGATGAGCTAATCTTAGAAATGCAGATGTTTGGGAAGGTAAGAAACATAGATAAATGAGAAGAATGAGTTTACCTTGTGCAACTGAAAGTGAGAACCATCACATGTATGTAAAGCTATATTATTAGTATTTGTGTTAACGTGTCCATGAAAAATTTTAGCCCTTTTTTTTTTTTTGCCCAATAGTGTTTTAAAAATTTTTTTTAATGTTTTTATTTATTTTTGAGACAGAGACAGATAGAACATGAACAGGGGAGGGGCAGAGAGAGAGGGGGAGACACAGAATCTGAAGCAGGTTCCAGGCTCTGAGCTGTCAGCACAGAGCCCGACGTGGGGCTCAAACATACGGACTGTGAGATCATGACCTGAGCCGAAGTCAGATGCTTAACCGACTGAGCCACCCAGGCGCCCCAATAGTGTTTTTATTAAAGCATGGGGACAGGACCTGTGGGCAGAAAGAGCTAAATAGTCCTTTTATGGTTTTTTTTTTTAATTTTATTTTTTTTAATGTTTATTTTTGAGAGGGGCAGAAAGAGCAGGCTCCAGTCTCTGAGCTGTCAGCACAGAGCCCGACGTAGGGATCAAACTCACAAACTGTGAGACATACTCAGCCAAAAGTAGAACATTAACGTAGCCAGCCGCAGAGCGTCCCTAAATAGTCCTTTTAAATTGACACATGCACTTTATAAATTTTAATTTGTTTAGTCCTTATGTTAGAAAAGATACCCTAATTCAACAACAAACAAAAATGGAATGGAAGAGCCATGGAATGAAGTCAGAATATAAACTGCTGGGGCATCTGGGTGGCTCAGTTGGTTGGGCATCGCTGGCTCGGGTCATTGATCTCATGTGTTTTGAGCCCTCATCGGCGAGGCTCTGTGTTGACAGCTGAGAGCCTCTACCTCGGATTCGTTCTCCTCTCTCTCTGCCCCTCCCCCACTCACGCTCTGTCTCTCTGTCTCAGAAATAAACATTAAAAAAAGTTTTTTTTTTAAATAAACGTATTTTAAACTATTTAACATTATTAAGCTTTATATTAGAATTCTTAACCCTTAAAAACCTTAATTTCTGGTTAAAATTAAGAAGTAAACAGTTGTGGGGGCCCCTGGGTGACTCAGTCGGTTAGGCGTCTGACTGCCAGTCCAACTGGTCTGTGAGTTCCGAGCCCCGTATTAAGACTCTGTGTGACACTCAGAGCACGGACCTGACGGATTCTGTGTCTCCCTCTCTCTCTGCGCCCCCCCCCCGCTTCCCACTTTCCACTCTGTCTCTATCAAAAAATGAATAAACGTTAAAAAAAATTTAAGAATATAAAATGCTAATCCAATACCATCTTTCTGTAAGTAGCTGGTTTCTGTCGACCGTTGTGAATGCAAAGGAAGGACTTTCCTCTCACCTCCTGTGGAGAAGGTCATGGGCAGCACTGTCACTGAGACGTTGTCAGAGCTTCTCTGTCCAGCAGTGTCCATCACAGTGAGCTGAAAGGTATATGTTCCTTCCCGTAAATGGGACAGCTTCAGGGTTCCTGACTGAGGTACCTGACACCCAAACAGGAAACAGCACATATAGTTAGGAGATCTGAGGCACAGAGTCCAGTATCATCCTGAACTGGAAATCAGCATTACCCCTGGAACAGTCCCATGTCCCACCTGTCCACTCCTGGCCAAGGAAGGGAAATCCTAAAGCATGCACCATTTGGGCAGGTTGCCCTACTCTGAACTCACAATTCTCAATTTTATCTGGGCTGACAATCTCCTTGACTAACAATAGTCTTTCACTTGTCCTTAGCAGTTGATGTTCCAAACCTGTAACTCTCCAAGCTCCACACCCAGTATCTAGTCCCTTCCTTCTCAGCAGGTGACCTCATCTACTTTGAGAAGAAAATTAAGACATAATTATGGCCATGATTATGTTTCTACCACTCATTCCTATGCTGGGAACGCACCTGTATCTGTATCTGCTGTCAGCTACTTTCCCCCAGCCATAATAAGATGAGCTGTCCCTCCCGCACTCCAGGCCAACTCCCCCATCTAGGCCTTGACCCCTTCCCTCTATGACCTTTTTTTTTTTAATTTTTCAATGTTTATTTATTTTTGACAGAGAGAGAGACAGAGCATGAGTGGGGGAGGGGCAGAGAGAGAGAGAGACATAGAATCCGAAGCAGGCTCCAGGCTCCAAGCTGGCAGCACAGAGCCCGACGAGGGGCCTGAACCCGCGGACTGTAAGATCGTGACCTGAGCCGAAGTCAGATGCTCAACCAACTGACCCACCTAGGTGCCCCTATGACCTTTGGAACACTGACCATCAAGTAATTTCTCTTTCAAATGCCTCTGCTATCACTATGCTCAAGTTTCTCTCTACCCAAAAAAACCAAACCAAACAACAGCAAACAAAAAACCCTATAGTCCAAGATCATCCCAGCCATACAATCTTATCTCCTTCCCATTTCAACTTACCTTTCAAAGCCTTGTTCATGCCGCACTTGCTGCTTCCATTTGCTCATTTCCCATTTATTCTTTATCCCACCCATCTGATTTCTTTCCTCACCATTCCCCTGAAACTGCTGGAAAAACTCATTAGCTGATCTAGCAAAGATCACCAAGTTGTCAAGGTCAATGAGACTTGTTAGCCTTGCCTCCTCCCACTCCCCCTCCACTGGCTGTCCTACTGTATTTTACAAAGTTAGCCACTCCTGGCTTCTGGAACTCTCGACTTCCCTGGCTTCTGTTTCTGTGCCTGAATTCCCTGGCTATTCCTTGATGATCACCATGATGGACTTCACTTCTGCTTACTCCCTAAACCCAGGGTCCCGTCTTGACCCCCCATTCTCCTCTGCCATTTTTCAGGCAGTCTCCCAATCATGGCAAGAATGATAGCTTCTGGGGTCAGTACTACGTTGTCATCTTGGGAGTCATTTTTGGATGCTCAATCCAACTACTATATTTTTCAGCTCTCTCAAAGATACTATAATGGCTGAATGTCCTATTTTCTAGGAAAAAATCCCTTTTTGCTTAAATGAACTAGTCTGGATATTCACTACAAATGAATTCTGACCATTACATGGTTCATTACATTGATGCATTACCAGACTTAAGAGTACAGAGAGTTGCCCTATTAGAACTATCAGCTGCTGGGAATGCAAGCTGGTGCAGCCACTCTGGAAAACAGTATGGAGGTTCCTCAAAAAACTAAAAATAGAACTACCCTACAACCCAGCAATTACACTACTAGGCATTTATCTGTGGGATTACAGGTGTGCTGTTTCGAAGGGACACATGCACCCCCATGTTTATAGCAGCACCATCAACAATAGCCAAAGTATGGAAAGAGCCCAAATGTCCATCGATGGATGAACGGATAAAGAAGATGTGGTATATATATATATATATATATATATACACACACACACACACACACGCACACGCACACACAATGGAGTATTACTCAGCAATCAAAAAGAATGAAACCTTGCCATTTGCAACTATGTGGATGGAACTGGATGGTATTATGCTAAGTGAAATTAATCAGAGAAAGACAAAAATCATATGACTTCACTCATACGAGGACTTTAAGAGACAAAACAGAGGAACATAAGGGAAGGGAAACAAAAATAATATAAAAACAGGGAGGGGGACAAAACATAAGAGAGTCACAAATATGGAGAACAAACTGAGGGTTGCTGGAGGGGTGTGGGAGGGGGGATGGGCTGAATGGGTCAGGGGCACTAAGGAACCTACTCCTGGAATCATTGTTGCACTATATGCTAACTAATTTGGATGTAAATCTTAAAAAATAAAAAATAAAATTAAAAAATAAAAAAAAAGAACTATTAGCTGCTTGTTTGTATTTATGAAATCCTAGAATTTAGATCCCTGCACATAATTTTGGCTTGGAGGCTTTGTCAGAACTATATATGCACAAGAACAGAATGCTTTACGATCACTTTAGGGGGCAATGCAAGGAGATACAGTTGTATCAATAATCAATCACCCAGAGCTCCTGTTAAGTACAGGTTTCTCAGCCCAGCCTCGGAGTCTGAGTCAGTGGGTCTGAGAGTGGGATCTGGGAATTTGCACACAACAGGCACATCCAGATGATTCACCAATGACACTGCAAGAAACGTGGGTGAAGTGGTTAAGAGCACGGAGTCTGGCATCCAACAGAGCTGAATGCCAGCTCTACTGCGTGCCAGCTCTGTGACCTTGTACAAGCCACTTAACCTATTTAAGCCTCAGTTTCTTCATCTGTAAAGTGGAAATAATAATGGCACTTACCTTGTAAGCATCAAATGAGATAACTATGTAAAGAGAGCTTAATGTGGGGCTTACATATAAGTTTTAAATATAAAATACAAGTTTAGTTTTTTAAATATCGAAAGGGCATAACGTAGTAAATGCTTAAATGTAACTAACTGTCTCCATTGGTTAGTTCTCATCTCAAGCTGAATAACCCTGTTTTTACAGACAGGAAAATGAAATCTCAATAACGTGACTCTCACTCACTGAGACAGAGACAGAATCGAGATGTCCAGGTGTAAAACCGTCAATAAGTGGTCCCATCACTCTCCTTGCAAAAGCTGTAAGCTGGAGAGCTGGCAAAGAAGCAAGCCAGTCCTTCGTTGTGTATTTCAAAGAGATGTTAAGCAGTTTTCACCGCCACACTGTTACATGATCTTCAGGCCCAACTACAACAAGAGAATATCAAACTTATTCTTATTAAGTGGGGTCCACTTATGTGAGAACTACAACACTACCTAAAGGCCATGCAGAGAGAAAACTGAAGATGACAAGAGAATGTGAGAGTCTGGAGCAGGCAACTGATCCTCAGAAACAAGAGGGTTCTCGATGTCTGAGAACAAGGAGAGAACATCAGAGATTCAGACGAGTGAGATTTAAAATGAGACAAAAACTGTGGCTTGGGACTCAGGGTCATACCAAACCCCCCTTTTCTTTCACATTCCATATCCAAACGCATCTCGAATTTAAGCGCTTCTCATCAGGTCCATTGTCACCATCCTGGTCTGAGCCCACCCTGTCTCTAGCCTGAGTCACTGCAGGGGTCAAGAGACCTGCACTCCAGTGGGACTGGGACTGGTATCCCTTTATTCTGGAAACTTTCGCTTCCACCCCTGTCCACATGATTGCAAGGGAAGGGTGAGTTATAACCTCTCCCTATGGCCGGAGGAGTGTGAGGCTGAACCAAGGGGCGCCAATGACTGCAGGGGGCAAGAGGCCGTAAGGTTGCCGCTGGTGACAGACTCTCACTCTCTCCAACTCTGGCTCGGCATCAGGCAGGCCTTCCTAGGTCGCAGTGGTGTAATAGATAAGACCACTAGTTCCGGGACTTAGAACACATGGGTACATGGTGGCAGCTGATGGCCATGCTGGAATGTGTTGACTGAGCCTTGCAGCCTTGAGTAAGGGAGTAAGGTGCTATGAGGGGAGAAGCTTTGTCACAGCGGGTCTGCCTGCAGACTTAAGACTGCAGAAAGCCGGCAGCTGAGAGGTTTGCTGCCCAGCTACATGAGAGGAGAGAGAATCCCAAGCAGGTTCTGCACACTCACCTCAGAGCCCGATGTGGGGCTCAATCTCACAATTGATGAGATCATGACCTGAGCTGAAATCAAGAGTCAGACACTTACCCGACTGAGCCATCCAGGGACCACGGGAAGTTTCTTTTCAATGCTGGGCTGGAAGGACAGGCATCCACTATCTAAGAGGGCAATTGTCCACCTGGGCTGTGGATGCCTCTCTCTGCCTTCCTAGGCACCTCCTCTCTGCTGCAGGGAACACTGATCCAGATCAAGGTCATGGTAATAACCTTCAAAGTCCTGGATGAGCTTAAATTTAGATCTATTCACGTTAATATCCTCTCCTTGGCCTTTTTATTCATTTAGTTAACAAAAGGTGTCTTTCCTTGAAATCAGGTATTTAGAATATTTAGAATGGTTTCCGAACTTCAAGCATCCAGGTGATCCTTCCATATCTCATGTTTATTTGACATTGGAAAGGATTTTACAAACATTTCCTAAGTGTCAGGATAAAAAATATATATGGCAGAGGAGAAAGAGAATAAGACAAAAGTTCTCATTGTTCCCACCAAGAGTAGGACAACATTCCCTGAGCACATGAGCCAATTTTCTTGACATCTGGCCATAATGCAGAGTTTCTACAGACAAAAGATTAGTACTGCTTCCCTGTTGTTTCTTCTCTTACTGCCCTTCTCTCCTTTCGAGTCTAGGGAAGATCAATACGATATCTTGGTGTGGCAAGATGTGGGTAAAGTGTAGACAAGATCTCTCTGAATCCTTCTTTCCTTCTTTTCTTTTCTTCTCTCTTCTCTTCTCTTCTCTTCTCTTCTCTTCTCTTCTCTTCTCTTCTCTTCTCTTCTCTTTCCTTTTTTCTCTAATGTAATCTCTACACCCAACATGGGGCTTGAATTTACAACCCCTAGATCAAGAGATTCATGCTCTACTGACTAAGCCACCCAGGCACTCTCCTCTGTACTGTTTTTTAGAAAGAAAAGTAAAAGTATGTTA